GATCTCAATTACTTTGTTTCTCATTTGTTCCTGAATTTCTTTGGATCGCAGCATGATGTCTAGCTTTTGAGGATCTTTTGGTCTACCTCACTTTTTCAGGCACGTCCTATTTAAGTGATTTCTTGATTGAGAACAGGTGTGGCAGTAATCAGGCCTGGGTGTGGCTAGAGAAATTGAACTCAGCTTTCCAAAGATGTGATAAACCACAGTTAATTTATGTTTTAACAGGGGGGGGGGGGCAATCACTTTTTCACACAACTGTATATGTGTGTATATATATATGTATATATACACGCACAGAGAGGGGTTTTAAAAAATGTGAAGTTGAACAGAAGTGCTTAAACTCGTCTTAGTATTGATGTTGGTTATTACTAATTTGTCCGTACTGGTTCATGGTATTTAATGAATATTCTTTGTGAAATAAGAGATCTTTCGGTTAACTCTGTGGACAGGAAGTAGCAGACGTGTGATTTCCTGTTGCAGTTTGAGGCGTGGGGGGAGTCAGAGTGGCGAGTAATGGAGGACTCTCGGCACATGGTGGAAGAGGTGTTGACTCTTTGTCTCCAGAGGATCACCATGGAGGAAACCAGCATGAGCACTGAGCGCGGTGAGACACAACACTGACTCAGTAACAATTTATTTAATGTCAAACAACAGAGAAGCTGAGGAAGTTCTGAACATTCATCTCCGTCCAGAATAAAGTTATTTTAGGACTCTGAGACCGGAGGTCCTCTTGTTTTATTAGTTCTGCCATAATGCCTCTTTGATGGGATTAGTCGCTGGAGATGCAAGTGATGAAAAGATGGACAACCTGGAGCTGAAGACAACCTTAACACTGACCCTCCAGACATCTCTCATTTCTCTTTACTGCAAACCTTCTGCTCTCTGTTTGACGATGATGTTTGAGATATTTCCCGCCTTCTTTCAGAGTTACTGCAAGTGGTGAAAAACCTGGAGAAGGTGAGGAAGCAATGGCTGCACGCCGAGCTGGAGCAGAAGAAATACAAAGAGCTGCTGGTGAAGTCAGACGTGTCCAAAGCTGCTCTGGAGGTCAAACTGAAACACGCTCGAAACCAGCTGGACGTGGAGATGAGGAAACGCTACAAGATGGAAGCAGACTATCATTACCTGGTGAGTCCTGCTGCTGAAGAACCGCTCAATGGTCCACGTGTTGGTCCAACCCCCCCATGGGAGGACCAGCCCTTTAGCATTAGGACTAATTTGTAATGAAGTGTGCGGCCTGCAGGAGGCGCTGACAGCTCCTTCTCTCTCTTCTTCTCTCTGATTGGTAGCAAAGGCAGATGCAGCTCATGTGTGACATCCTGCTCCACGACAGTAAATCCAGCGCCTGTTTGAACTCCGAGCAGAAATCTCTTCTGGCCACATTTGAACATAAAGGAGGAAACGTGACTCTGCACCGACGCAGCAAACGGTAGACGAAGAGGAAACGCTCCTCAAGCAGCTCAGTTTGTTCACAGTCACCAGTTCTGCTCCCTCCTCATCCTCCTCATCCTCAGCCCCTCTTCACTCACTGTTTTGGTGTTTCTTACTTTTTAAAGGTGTGGATCAGGCCAGATCTAAACCCCCTTCAGCTAAAGATCTCTTTCACTCTTACTGATATGAAGTGAGCTGCTCTGACAGTCCAGCCTGATGATGATCTTTGTGGTTTTAGACTAAATGAATAAGTGTATAATGTAATCTCCGAGGTGAAGCTGATGAGGTGTCTACTAAGGTCCTCAGCTCCCCGTAAGCCTCCATCACTGGTGCTAGCTGCTATAGCTGTATTCTTGTATCTCAGAAAAGTCCTCATCGAGAGTCTGTACGGATTTCCTGAGAGCTTCAGTGAATCTTTTCAGAAGGTTTTATCTGGGTCATGTCAGAGGTTTTTAAAAGGTTCCAGGAGTTAGTTCAGGACATTGTGGAGTTTCAGAACCAGGATTTAATTTAACTTTTTCTTTTGTTCATCCAGGTTGTGTGTGATAGACGAGTCTTCGTTCCTGTCCCACTCTGACATCAGCTACGATCGGACCGATGATGACGTGGTACAATCAATAAAATAACATATTAAAGGATCAGTCCGTCTGAATCTTAACAGCTAAAGTATCAAATCCAGGAGTCTTTTTTTTTTCATATCACCCATCGGTTTTTACGTAGATTTCTTTCTTTCCAGCCATCCATTGATTTCCTCATTTATATTCAAATGAAGACACTTCAAATAGGAAGTCAATTTATTTATGTTCCATCTTTATGTCAAGGTAGAGTGCTACAACATGATTTACTATAAAGTCTTTCATGGGTTTTCTTTCTTGTCAAAACTTGATGAATTTTAAGTTGATGTTATAGAAAATTGTAAAACATTAAAATCCATGTTCTGCATTAAAGAAGCAGCCTGACGTCAGTTTGTGTCTTTTGTTTCAGGATCTGGACACGACTTCCATTAAACCTTTGAAATCTCGAGCCAGGGAGAGGAGGGTAAGTGGTCCACTACGATCCTTGAGCTTGACGTTCTGTTGGTCCTCTGCAGCTCTCGTCTGTTCTGACGTTTTATTGGTTCTCTACAGCGCTCCTCGATGGGACTGCCTGTCGGCGCTCCAGTTGGGAAGCGAGGAAGAAGCGGGAATCTTTCTGCAGAGCTGCTGGAGATGAAACCTATAGAGGTGAGCCGCTCTATGGAAACGTGGCGTTAGAGGTTCTTTGATCCTTTAACAGATGATGCAGAGCATTAAAAACCACAAGGTTTCCCTCTGAAGCCTCGTTTCTTATTAGCTTGATGACGCATATATGTAAATGCAGGACATCAAAGGGACCTCTAGATCAAACGCGTATTTCAAAATGCTTTATTAAAGTTCCTGCTTGGAAAATGATTCCATGTCTGATGACTTGTGTCCTCTTCTAACCCTAACCCTAACCCATCCAAAGCAACGTCTTCCAGGTTGTCCTGAGGGAACCAGACCAGATCTAAAATCTCTCCAGCCTGTTCTGGGTCTACCATGGGGGCCTCTTATGGGAGGCATCAGCTTCTCGAATATTGCTGCTTGCCTTTGAATTATGTTTCATATGTCAAGTTTTACTTGTGACGAGCATGTTTCACATTTTATAAACCAAACGATTAAATGAGAAACACCTCAATGTCCCCCCCCC